TCCCGCCACGCTGTGGGGAGGCAGGGGTACCCACAGTGCAACAGCCAGGGCATCCTGTGGGCATCTGTGAGAGGCTGCTAGGGGTGCTCTGGGTCACTCCTTCCCCCAGGCATGCCCTCAGCAGGGTGCACAGCCCCGCAACAGCCAGTCCACCGCCCAGGGCAGCTGTCGCAGGCAGACTCGGGCGTGTGAATGAGCTGCCCCTGGGTGACCGCCCCTCCGCTCTGCTCCTCAGTGGACCCCGAGGCCCTGGTGCGGGAGGAGCAGGCCAGCACCATCTTCCAGTCGGAGCAGGGCAAGAAGACCATCGACATCTACTGGCTGTTCGACGACGGAGGTCAGCGCCCCTGCACACACACGCACGCACACACATACACACGGGCGCACACACGCGCACACACACACACACACATGTGCTCTCCCCTGGCACACGTGCTCTCCCCGGCCGTCTTCCCTCTGAGGCCCTCTGTCTCTTGATCCGCCCTTCCTGGCCGCTCTTGACACGGGCTCTGGTGGGACCTCAGAGCCCTGCAAAGGGGGGACCGGGGCCCCTGGGCCCACCCCTGGGCTTGGGGGAGCCTAGGCGGGCTCCTCTCTTGGTCCCCAGCTTTTCAGCTGTTAAATAAATGGGGACTTACAGGGAGGAGCCATGTCAATGTGAGCCGGAACCTTCAGACTCGATGGGCCTCAGGGGTCGCAGCACACAGCATACATGGGGAAGGGGGGCTGGTGCCCAGGAAGGCTCAGGAATACTGACTACCCACAGAAATACGCTCGCGCCCATTTTTCTTAAAACCCATGACTCAGCTCTATCGGCCCAACCTCTGATGTTTCTGCTCTAATATGTTCTCTGAGTGACAGCCACCTTGACTGAGCACTTATGCTCAATGCAGCCCCCTGGTAGGAACTATTATTAACCCCCTTTACAAACAAAGAAAGTGAGGCCCAGAGTGGTGACATAATTTGTCCAAGGTTACGCAGTCACAAGTGACAGCCGGTCCTTGGCCTTGTGAGGAGAGATGACAGGGAGGGCTGAGGGCCCCCACCCGCTGGTCAAATGTTCAATCTTCAAGAAATGCCCGAGATCCTGATTTTAAGTGAAATCCCCCAATTATTACACGCCAGCTCACTTATTTGAAAGCATGGTGCAGGCCAAGTAAACCTGAGCCCACAGAGCCCTGTGTGCCACTCTGGTTTACTCCGGCATGCCCATTATACAGATGGGCAAACTGAGGTCTGGAGATGGGAATTGGTGCGAACCCAGAGAGAGCTCCACCCTGAGAGCATTTTCCTCTTGATTCCCGGGACCCTCCTTGCCAGGCCTCACCCTCCTCATCCCCTACCTCCTCGGCCGCAAGAAGAGATGGAGCAAATGCAGGATCCGAGTGTTCGTGGGCGGCCAGATCAACAGGATGGACGAGGAGAGGAAGGCGTAAGTGGGGAGCAGGTGGTGTCCCTTGATAAGATGCAGATGCCCCTGTCTCGACCATGACAGGGAGGGATGTTATATTTTAAAATCACACATCTGCTCAGGGAGAAACCTGTGTGACATGAAGGATGGAAAAGACCCCTCCTCCTGGGAAATGAGGCAGAGCTTAGAATCTGCAGGGCCATGTCCCCGTCAGGCTTGGGTGGCCATCCCTGGTGAAACAAGAGGTGACTTTAAACCTATTTTTATTGATTTCAGAGAGGAAGGGAGAGGGAGAGAGAGATAGTAACATCAACAATGAAAGAGAACCATTGATCGGCTGCCTCCTGCACTCGCCCCACTGGGGATCGAGCCCACAACCCGGGCATGTGCCCTGACTGGGAATCAAACTGTGACCTCCTGGTTCATAGGTCCACTCTCAACCCCTGAGCCACCACGGCCAGGCCACGAGTGACTGCAGTGGCCAGGAGATGGGGCAGCAAATGCTATGGAATAAGCGACAGTTCTCCTCGACTTTGTGGCTGACGCTGCGGAAGGCTCTCTGCTCGGGGACCCAGGCTTCCCTCCTACCTAAGGCAGAGAGGGTGGGCCTGGCTGGGGGCATGGCAGGTGCCGGCATCCAGCCAGAATCTGGTGACATTGGCTAATTTGCCTGGTTTTATTGGTCACCTCTTTGATCAGATGTGTAGACACATAAAAAAGTGAGGTGTGCAGCCCAGAGCTGGTCACAGGTACTGGCCAATTACTTTTCCATGTCACTCGTCATCAGCTGACCTGCCTTATCAGAATGCATTTATCGTCTGCTCCCCTACTCCCCGGCCAGGTTAGAATGTAAACTCCACAAGGGCAGGATTTGCTTTGTTTTGCTCACTGCTGTGTCCTCAGCGGACGAGCAATAAAAATTTGAGGAATGAATAGATACATTGAAAAATATTTCTATATTATAAAAAAAAATATCTCCATCTTGCCCGGGCGAGGCTCAGTGGTTGAGCGTCGACCTTTGAACCAGGAGGTCACGGTTCGATTCCCGGTCAGGGCACATGCTGGGTTGCCGGCTGGATCCCCAGCTGCGGGGCGTGCAGGAGGGAGACAGACAATGATTTTCTCTCATCATGGATGTTTCTATCTCTCCCTCTCCCTTCCTCTCTGAAATCAATAAAAAGAAATATTTTTTAAAAAAATCTCCATCTTCCAGGATCATTTCTCTTCTGAGCAAGTTCCGCCTGGGATTCCAGGAAGTTCACATCCTTCCTGACATCAACCAGAAGCCGCGGGCTGAGCAGTGAGTCCTGTGGGATGATTTTCTCTCATCATGGATGTTTCTATCTCTCCCTCTCCCTTCCTCTCTGAAATCAATAAAAAGAAATATTTTTTAAAAAAATCTCCATCTTCCAGGATCATTTCTCTTCTGAGCAAGTTCCGCCTGGGATTCCAGGAAGTTCACATCCTTCCTGACATCAACCAGAAGCCGCGGGCTGAGCAGTGAGTCCTGTGGGGGCGGGGGTGGGGGTGGGGGTCCAGGCAGAAGGGCGGCTTGTGCCCTGTGACCCCTCTACCATCGCCCCTTTCTCTCCGGTGAGCCAAGGGCAGGGGCGCTGTCCTCCCGCCTAGACTGAGCTCATGGAACGAAAGAGGAGGGAGGAGGTTTGCAGGTGTTTAGTTTCCCGTTTGCGTTCCTTCCTCTGCATATCGGAGCTCTCCTCTCCCTTCCAAGCACACCTGGGCGGAGGCCACCTGGGCGGAGGCCGGCGAAAGCTGACGCTGGTGCTTTTCTCAGAGCGAGTGTTTTTTTTGTGTTTTTGTTGTTGTTGTTACTTCTCACCCCAGGATATTTTTCCACGATTTTTAGAGAGAGTGGGAGAGAGAGGGAAAGACGGAGAGAAACATTGAAGTGAGAGAAGCACATCGATTGGTTGCCTCTTGCAGGTGCCCGACCAGGGCCCAGGTCAGGGTCAGGTGCCCTTTAAGCTCTTACTGGTGCGTGGAAATCAGGCCGTCTTACCTGGTGTCCCCGCTCGCTCTGTCCCAGCACCAAGCGCTTTGAGGACATGATTGCGCCCTTCCGCCTGAATGACGGCTTCAAGGACGAGGCCACCGTGGCCGAGATGAGGCGGGACTGCCCCTGGAAGATCTCGGATGAGGAGATGAACAAGAATAGAGTCAAGGTGCAGAGGGAGAAGGGCCTCGCTGGCAGGAGGGGTGTCAGGCGTTTTTGTGGGTTGGGACCCTGGGCCCATGCGTCCTGAGCTTCCTTAACGCCCTCCCCTGGCCCCCAGCCCTGCTTCCCTCCCCCTCACACCCAGCCTTGGAGGCATCCTCCAGCCACAGTCACTGGGCTGCGCTGAAGGGTGCCCGGTTGTGGGTTGTGGAACTCACAGCCATCCCGGGCCTGAGATCCTGGTCCTCCCGCCCAGTTTGAGTCCCCCTCACCATGACGATGGATGGCCGGAGTCCGTCTCCCTCTCTCCCCCAGACTCTGTGCCCCGTGGGGACTCTGAGACAAGTGGGGAGGCCAAGGGAGAAGTTGTCCAGCAGCCTGGCTCCTCCCCTTAGCCTGTAGCCCCACCCCAGATGCAGCCAAAGCCGTGGCAGCCCCCTCCCCAGACAGCGCCCTCAGGACTTTCCTAAGGGCTGAAGGAGCGTGGTGGCCACCCTGGCCGTTCTGAGGTCAGGGGCTCGGGGATCACAGTTTGTCACCCGGGGGTGGGATTGCTGCTGTCACTTGGTGAGTGGAGGGCAGGGATGATGCTAAACATCCTTCAGGCCACAGGACAGTGCCCACAAGAATTCCTCTCTCCTAATGTCTGTAGTGGGAGGTCCGGGGGCCCTGACCTAGGTTCATTCACTTCCCTCAATTTTCCATTCTCTCAAATGGGTGTCCATCTCCTGCCAGACTCGGGTGCCAATCATTTCTGAACGGTTTGGAGACAGGCCTTGGGCTGGGCGGGAGCCTCCCCCACACCCCGGCCCCACACAAGCTTTGGGGATTCCTGCCCAGAGGCACACACAGCTCCCAGCTCCTTGGGAAAAGACGAGAGTCCAAACGAAGCTCTCGCCGACCCTCTCATGGAGGATCGTCCCACCCCTGCTCGGTTCCACCGTATCAGGAGCCTCCGCACGCTCGTGGGCTATGTCACTCCATCTCCCCCAGACTCCCCTGGGGCGGGCCTCATACTCATTTCACAGATGGAGACAGAGGAGCCCAGGCAGTCAGCGTGCCTTGCTCAGTCCTCTCTGTGCTGAACTATCAGCTGTCCCAGCACCACGTGAGCTGGTTCCCCCCATAACTCCCCCTCCCCCACCTCTGTCCTGGCCGTGGTCATAAGGTCAGGCAAGGAGAAACCCAGGAGGGCTTCGCACAGTAGGGCCGCTTCCTCCTCGGAGGCAGGAGAACGGATAAGGATAGGGACAAGGCACACATCCTGTCTGAAACGTTGAAGAGGCCCCCGGCTGGGTGGGGCCTGCTCCTGGGGACGTGGGACGTGACCGGTGGCTTTTCCTCGCCCAGTCCCTGCGGCAGGTGCGGCTGAATGAGATTCTGCTGGATTACTCCCGAGACGCCGCGCTCGTGGTCATGTGAGTAGCTGAGAGGGCCTGGCGCCGAGGCCCAGGGTGGCGGCTTTGGGAGGGTGGCCCCTGCTGGGGACCTGAGCCTTCTTCCCCTGTGAGACGCAAGGGCCCACAGTCTCACCCGAGTGCCTTAAACAGAAGTCTTAACTTCACAGGCTGAAGGTCTTTTTTTTTTTTTTAAAGGGTTTATTGGGCTATTGCTAGTAAAAAAAAAAAAAGGCAGGAGCCGGCCAGCATGGCTCAGTGGTTGAGCGTTGACCTATGAACCAGGAGGTCATGGTTCCATTCCCAATCAGGGCACATGCCTGGGTTGCGGGGCTCAATCCCCAGTGTGGGGTGTGCAGGAGGCAGCCAATCCATGATTCTCTCTCATCATCAGTGTTTCTATCTCCCTCTCCTTTCCTCTCTGAAATCAATAAAAATATATTTTAAAAAATAAGGAGGGAAGGAAGGAGGAAAGGGAGAAAGAACCAGGTCCTGGGACAGGGGGTCTGAACCCCGCGGCTGCGCCTGGCGGAAAAGCCAGCATGTCCTGGAGTTGAGCGTCTTATACACCAAATGGAGGGACAGAGATCTGGGTGGCTCTGAAAGCAGTAAGGTGGCCACAGCGTCCACAGGAAGACGTGTCCGCGCCTGTGGGCTGGCCGGGGGCAGAGACGGGAAAGTCCACGTGTGAATAAGCAGAGGCTCCTGGCAACGGTGGCGCCTGGCGGCTCCCCCTTTTAGGTAAACGTGGACAGAGCTCCTGGCAGTCAGCGGATGTTCCCACACACACGCAGGGCGTGCCAGGCGTCTGTTGGTTTTGCCCGGCAGTTAACCGATCCACCCCTCTTGTCTCCTCCTCCTGCCCTCTGGCCTGAGATCATTTACTTTGGGGCAGCTCACAGCGCAGGATGGTCAGGGCCAGCTGGCCCAACCCGAGGCCTCAACCGTCCCAGGCCTCCCTGCCGCCCCTCACCACTGCTCTTCCCTTCCCTGTCGCCTTTTCCTGCCGAACTCGTCTTGGCAAAGGGGACCCAGGTCATTCCAGAGGGAAATCGATTCCTGCTTGTTTGGGAATCACCCAGCCCTCTTTGGCCGCCGGCCACCCCCAATGGATGTCGGTGCCAAGTCTGGGCAACAGGAGCAGAGGCCGCACCAGCCCACTGCCCAGGCTCTGAGCCGGTCAGCCCTCGGGCTTCCGTTGCCACTGCCTGTCCAGTAACCCACCACCTCTGGTGGGCACTGGCCAGGGCTGAGTAAGTGGGAGGTGACAATGGCACAGAGAGGGTCTCACGGTGGCTTTACTCTCTCGGAGGAAGACATGGCCAGCGATGCCACCAGAGTCCCCTCCCCGGGAGGCCCAGCTCAGAGGCGAACACTGGCCTTCCTTGCATTTCCGGGGGGCTAGCCCCCTGGGAATCCCGCAGGCCAGCCAGCAGCCTGTGGAACCTGTTTTTCCTACCTGAAACCAGGATCAGGGGCCTGATGCAAAATGACAATGTGGGGGCCCTCTGTTCAAAACCCATTCGGAATCTCAGGATGGTGTCAGCGGGCGTTAAACCCAGCGTGAGACCCTTCGAAGTACGGGTTGTGCAAAGGTGCAGTTTGCAGGCCTGGGAAACTGGCTCGCCCGACACTGCCTGGGGCTCTTAGGGAGATGGATTTTTTTGTACAAAGAAAATGCTTCCTTTAATGAGGAAAGTGCTGGGTTTATCTCCAAGCCTCTGGCCAGTATGTCTCCAGAGAATGTCCCCAGGGTAGGGTTGGCCTGGGAGAAGCCTGGGTCACAGTGCAAGGTGGGACTGGCTTCGTGCTGGGACAGCTCCCCAGCGTCTCCTTGGGTGTGGTAGCTGGTGTGTGACAGCTGGGGTGTGCGGGCATGCCCCCCCCCCCCATGACTGCCACCTCTGTTCAGAGAAGCAGGCTAATACTTGTCTTTGCAATTGGCCCTCCTTCTCTGAGCCTCAGTTTCCCTGATTATAGAAAAGAGTTACCTGAAATGACTTCTTTCACTCGGGCCTGTTATGGTTCCAGGTTAATTTGCCACCTGCTGGCACCGCTCCCATCCTACTCCCCCCTCACCCCCCAGACCCCACGGGGAAAGCATGCCCTGCCCACCAGCCTCTGTGGGATTAGCCGATACAAAGAACATTGAGTCCAGTCGCCTCAGAGCAGCCGCCTGCACACAGCGTCCCACCCCCGGGGGCAGCTCCAGCTGTTGCCCACAGGGGCCGGCTGTTGGCTGCCGGCCGCTCCTCTGGGACAGCACGTACTGCTTTTTTTGCATCACTAATCTCCAACCCAGACTGCCGCCCCACCTTCAGGGGCCTGGAAAATGGCAAATTCCTCCATTCCTTCCAGAAACCCGCATTCTCCAGAACTTCCGAGGAAACAGAAATTCCCCAAGCCCCAGTAAAATGACAGAATCCCATTTCCCAGCATCCTCAGATGCATGGGCCATGCTCCAGCGAGGGGTGAGGCAGAATCTGGTTGTTTGCTGCCTACAAGTCCGTCGTTTATCTGATTATGGCTGTGTTTCAGTTCCGCTTAACCTGCACTGAACCACCCTATAACCAGCCCGACCAGCTCTGCCCGGATCGACAACCTTATTTCTGGTCTAACTTGGGGGTCTAGACTCTTCTTTTTTTCAATAAAGACTCCCTCCTCAAACCCCAATAGTGATAATCAAAATAATAATCAGCATGCATTGATTGAGCCTGTCAGACACTCAAGGTATTGGGCCTGATTAATTTTCAAAACTCTACGAACTGGCTCTATTTTAATCACCCGACACACACGCACGCACACACACAGAGACACACATACACAGACACACACGCACACACACTTTGGAAATGAGGACATTGAGCCTCAGAGAAGTTAAGCAACTTGCCTGGGGCCTCACAGCTGTGAAGCGGGGGTTGGGCTATGAAGCTGTGACACCGGTTCTGAGGCAGGGTCACCGGTTTTGCATGTAGCTGAGATCCAAGGCTGCCTTTCTTTGTGGCTAAGAGATGCAATTGTGAACAAAAAGCCCCTTGCCCCAGAGTGGCCTTTTTTCTAAAGATTAGTAGCTTAACACGCACACATCCTGCGAGCTGGACTGGCGTGTCAGCGACTGGCGCTGGCCCCGCAGGAATGAGGGGTGTCCCCCCCCCTGAGACGCAGCCACCGGTCCCCTCCCCTCATGGCCTTGGAGGTTTCTGAATTTAGTGCCTGAAAATGATGTGATGGTCCCCAGAGGGCAATTGCAGCCTTTGGCATAATGTAACTCAGGAAGTTCGGTTTCAATATGCCCACTTCCCTTTCCCCAGAGAGTCACCAGTCACAGACTCATTCTAACTAAACGTCCTTGTTCCCCCTGCCTTCCCCAGTCCTGGGGAACTTGCTTTTTAAAAGAGGGTAGTGTCCCAAGTAAAGCTTTATTTTTTATTTTTTTATTGATTTCAGAGAGGAAGGGAGAGGGAGAGAGAGAGAAACATCAATGATGAGAGAGAATCATTAATGATGAGAGAGAATCATTGGTAGGCCACCTCCTGCACGCCCCACACTGGGGATTGGGCCCGCAACCCAGGCATGTGCCCTGACTGGGAGTCGAACCGGGACCTCCTGGTTCATAGGTCAACGTTCAACCACCGAGCCACACCAGCCAGGCCCAAGTGAAGCTCTTGAGGGTGGAGTTTTAAATAAGGGGCAGCTGTTTAGGGGCCTCAATTCGCCTTCTCAGAGAAGTGGGGGTTGCAGGGAGCCGAGGCAGCTGGGGTGGGCGGTCCCAGGACTTTGGGTCAAGTCCCAGCTCCGCCACTCACCAGCTTGGTCAATAATAACAAGTGATGAGAACAGCTGCTGATGGGATGAGCCGCTGGCGAGGGGCCCTCGGTGTGCTAGTCTTCCTCGGGGCTCGCAGACACCCCAGGAGGGAGCTGTGTGTGTCCTCGCTCGAGGGCAGAGAACGCGGCTCGGGCAGCGAGCCATCTGTTAAAGCCACATGGCTGATGGCGTGACAACGCCACGACTCAGAAGGCTTCTCTGACGCCAGCGTCACGCGGCCCCATCCTTTCTGCCCCGTGTCCCCAGCTGTGGGCCCTGCTTTCTCCCCAGGGTTGTTTTGAGGTTCAGCTGAAATAAAACCTGCAGGTGCGCAGTCCCACGTACGGTGCTGGGGCCCCCACTTCCTGTAACCCAGCTGGCTCTGTGAGACGCCGGCTTCTCCCAGCGCCGAGAGCAGGGCAGCTGTGGCACCACGATGCCTTTTTGGAATCTCAAGACGGTAAAAGAGTCACTGCCTGAAACAGCCATGAGAATATGGCGGACCAGCCTCCCTGAGCAGCGAGTTATTTGCACAGCTTTGCAGTTGGGACCAGGAGCCCTCCCAGGGCGAGGGCGGAGACCTGCTCCCAGGGCCTCACCTATAGGGCAGGACAAGGACACGTGTGTGAAGGTGTCATGTTGTGGCCGCAGGCAGGTGTGTGGCTGGAGAGGCAAGGCTGGCCTGATTGGAGTGGCCTGAGGGGTGGGATCACCCACTTAACATCCCAACAGATCGGACCGTGTTCTAGGTGCAGGAGAAAGGGGAGTGAATAGGACAGACCCGCCTGCTTGAGTGAACATCCATTCTAGTGCAGGGAGACAGACAATGAATGAATGAATGAATGAATGAATGAAAAGAGGGTTTTGAGAGTGTGAAGTGCTGTGGAGACAATGACACAGGGTGATGTGAGAGAGCTGGGAGAACTGCTCTGCAGGGGGGGGTGGGGGAGAGGGGTGACCAGGGAAGCAGGTGCACTTGAGCCAGGATCTAAATGATTCAAAGGAGTCAACCAGATAAAGAGCTGGGGGCGCTGCCTGCCAGGTAGAGAGAGCAGCAGGTGCAAAGGCCCTGGGGCAGGAGTAGGCTTGCCATTTTGTCCAGGGGTGATCAGAAAGCCGCCGTGCTCTAGGGCTGCGAGCAAGGCTGAGGGTGGGAGCAGGTAAGATCCAGGAGGCTGGTGGGGACCAGATCGTGGTGCCTTACAGGCCATGGCTTCGTTCAGAAATGCTCCACGGCCGGAAGTACACTTAGAGTCCTGCTTCTAGGGAGGGTGACAGGTCATTCTGGGGTGGCCGGGAAGAAGGGCTTGGAAGGGGTCACTAAACAGCGTTGCCGTTCAGAAAGCCAACCGCGAGCTGGGCCGCGTGCGGAAGGCCCCTGGGTCATTCCTCGTCTGCCTTTCCCCTGCCCCCCAGCACCTTGCCCATCGGGAGGAAGGGGAAGTGCCCGAGCTCGCTGTACATGGCCTGGCTGGAGACGCTGTCCCAGGACCTCCGCCCGCCCGTCATCCTGATCCGAGGGAACCAGGAGAACGTGCTCACCTTCTACTGCCAGTAACGCCAAGCGTGGCCACGCCTGCCCGAGGCCGAGGGCGCATCCCCTGGGACCCACTCTCCATGGACGCGGCCCGAGCTCCGTCCCGCCCCAGGATCTGACTGAAGAGGCTGCAGGTTTCCAAACTTTGGCCGGACCCCACGCCCCTCGGACCTGTCCTCCGGGCTGGGTTTTATGGGCTGGCGAAGGAGCCTTTGAAGCTGGGTGAAAAGTTCTCTGGCGGATCCATCGTCCTTTTAAGTTCTTCTGATTCTGATGGCGGCAAATTAAGATTTCAGTCTTTGATTGATAGACAAGTTTGAGTCAGAGTGTTGGCTGTTTGTACAGACGTTCCCGTGCCTGCCTCCTGCAAGGTCAGGAGAAAGTGCGCCCCACGTACACACCCCTGTCGCCCTCACCGAGGGATGCAGGGCTCCTGGAACCTCCATACTCATGCAAATTTCTCTAACCACCTCTCACCCCCTGCGCTTTCAATAATAGTGCGTCTTCGTCTTCGGTGTTTTGCCTGCTTCGCTGGGAGCCCAGGGACTTTCAGGGCTGTGGCCCACAGTGAGGGATAGATTTTACGTCGAGCCTTGGAACAGACACACTTACCCTCACGCGGGTGACGCACGCCGATCTGTGCTGCTCTGATTCTCCTTCTCCTTTGAATGTTGGTTGCCATCCCCTCATGAGTGTGGGACCCACTCATGGGGGTGACCCCGGTTTGAAAAGCAGCGTAGACCTTCCTTTGGGAGAGAGTTAGGGAGTCTGGTGCCAGGGTGTGCAGCTTTAGATCTGGTTGGGGATGGAGGATGGATGGTTGGTTAGGGATGCAGGTATCGGGGGGTCAAGAATGGAGAAGCAGAGCTGCGGGGTGCAAGATTGGACAAAGGATCCGAAAGGTGCATGTGCGGCCCCAGGTCGGGTGAAAGGATGGGAGGAGGGGCCACTGGTAAGAGATAGAGCCAGTGCATTGTGGGTGGTCGTAGAATGGGGGTCAGAGTTGAGAACCTGGGGAAGATGGGCCTTGTTCATGCACAGGTGTTGGGGTCCCGGGATTGAACACCCCCAGAATGCTTGCACCAACCACACTTGGATGCGAGAGCAGAATGAACGTGAAGAGACTCCAGTGCTGGTGGGTGGGGCTCCCTGAAAGGGCATCTCAGTTCTGGGTGCACGTGTGTAGCATGCAGTGAGCTGTTGGCGGGCACGGCTGGCTGGGCCTTTTCCAGGAGACGGGTGGCGAAGGAACAAGGCAGCTTTGGGTCTGCTCAGCCCCCTCCCAGCCCCCTGAAGCACCCACTCAGTTATGGAGGGTTAGGACCGAAGGACGCTGGCATTTCTCGGGTCATGCGGCTGCAGAGAACAACGGCTCTGGTCTCAGGCTGTTCCAAGTCCCACCGGTCTTTTGCTCAGCAGGACTCCTAGAGTGACCCAGCGCCTGGCTGAGCTGACTGCCTGGGGACGGTGCCTCTGCTCCCTGGGGGCCTCGGGAGGGTGCCTGCCTCAGCCATTCCCCCAACTCCAGATAAGATAAAACCTCCGTCAGGGAATACAGTCCGAAGCCACATGGAAAACTATTTCCTGGTGAACGGACACTCCCTCTCCAGACCTCAGGGAGACCTGACCCAAGGACAGAAATTGCTTTGGCTTCAGGCATTAAATACTAAAAGCAAAACTTCACTAGGAGGGAGACTGAATTTTTAACAATGATAATA